CTTCTTCTTCTTCTTCTTCTTCTTCTTCTTCTTCTTCTTCTTCTTCTTCTTTTTTTCGTCCTCCTCCTCCTCCTCCTCCTGGCTACTGCCATTCTCTACATTTGCTGACATAGTTTGGTTAAACTGATTCTTCCACTTGGTAATGACTGGTTTGCCAATCTAAATTCATTTTCTTCCACTACAGGTTCTTGTAGGCAGGGATTATCTTCTAAGTTATCTTACATGTTGACATCTCTATTATACAGTATCTCAATAATTCCTACCATCTTTCTTTTTGAATTGGTTACTATCTGTCCATCGGCGTCCTGTAGCATATCAATTTGAAAATGGCACCTCCTTCTGAGTTCAGACCACAAGCCATATAGCACAGAAAGCAGGTTATATCCTTTGCGTTTTTAGTAAGAGCAAACTTTTCTTAATCTTTGAAAGTTTCTAATTTTAAGTTGAAATAGGACATTTCCTGCATGGGTTCAAGAAAGGTCTTTTAAAGCTGTTTGTTGGATAGATTGCAGGCTGCTTGTATCCTTCCTTCATTTTTGTTTAAAAGGGGTACCGGGAGAATATTTTAAGCTTCATTGCAATACAATCTTTGAAGTTGTCTTTCTGAAATTTGTCAGGGTTAATGTCCTTGTTATTCTTGTCCCTTTTGTGCCAAAAAAAAAATTATACAGCTGCGGGGATTTTGATACTTTTCCACTATAGCTTATGGCAAATCTTTTAATAATCTGAACATTGAATCTGTTTGCTTTTGATTCCTGCCACCTTCAAAAATAAAATCTCCATTTTAAATCAGATCTAGGTGGATTTCTAAACATGAGCACACATACACATGACTATGCATGCACAAACATATGTAGCAGAATCATTACAATGCGGACAGCAATCTATTATTTATAGCTTTCCTGGACTTGTTTAAAAGACAAAATGCAACGTCACTGCTTCAGATCAGCCACTTTCCCCTCTGCAAGATTTTGGTTAGTGGAGCAAAAAAAGTCATGACTATGCAAAGAAGTAAGCGGGTTTTAGTCAAGTTTGTTTTGATTAACTTAATGTGAGCTTTTGTCTTTGAAACAATAAGAAAAAAAATAATTCAACATACCGTTTACTGCTACTGTTTGGTAAAGTTGACATCTATCCTCCGCGAGCTGCGCTGGCTACCTGTTGATCTNCTGGGGGTTCCGGATTACGGGAGGAAGAGACTTCCGAAAACCCATCATCGTATCTAAGGTAAGCAAACCAACCCTACTTTCAAAATCAAAAGGGTCTGAGTCAGAGGTGGGATTCAGCCGGTTCTGACCAGTTCTGGAGAACCAGTAGCGGAAATTTTGAGTAGTTCGGAGAACCAGCAAATACCACCTCTGGCTGGCCCTGCCCCCATCTATTCTTTGCTTCCCAATTCCCAGCTGATCAGGAGGAAATGGGGATTTTGCAGTAACCTTCCCCTGGAGTGGGGAGAGAATGGAGATCTTACAGTATCCTTCCCCTGCCACCAAGCAATGCCCACCAAGCCACACCCACAGAACCAGTAATAAATTTTTTTGAATCCCATCACTGGTCTGAGTATGTAACTTTGGGACACAGATGGAATTCTAATGTTCTGATGATGGTCCATACTGTTCTCCTCCTGGCCATCCATATTATGTAGACAATTCTAGCTTTTGAACTCTGAGAAATATCCTTTATGGGGAAATTCTGGCCGTGTAACTGAATTACTCATTTTCTGGGTTCGCAGCAGACATTGAGTTATTCTTAAACTTGATGCACTTTTGTCTGAAAATTCATATCTTCCATATCTGCTGTCTCTCTCTCTCTCTCTCTCACACACACACACACACACACACACACACACACACACACACACACTGTTTTTATGACTTGCCCTAGATTGAAAGGAAGTAAGAAGCTTTCGACCCAGCCATAGCACGCTAAGTCCCTTTGTTTCCTGCCAGGATAATTCTTATCTCAAGGCCTTGGCAACTTTAAGAAGTGTGGACTTCAACTTCCAGGATTCCCCAGCCAGCTGAACAAACGTGGTGGCTGGGAAATTACAGGAGTTGAAGGTCCACATATCTTAAATTTATCAAGGGTGAGAAAAGCCATGGTGGCGCAGTGGTTGGAATGTACTATTGCAGGCGAATTCTGCTGACTGCCAGTAGTTTGACAGTTCGATTCTGACTGGCTCAAGGTTGATTCAGCCGTCCATCCTTCCGAGGTGGGTAAAATGAGGACCCAGATTGTTGGGGAAAATAGGCTGACTCTGTAAACTGCTTAGAGGGCTGTAAAGCACTGTGAAGTGGTATATAAATCCTAAGTGCTATTGCTATTGCCCGCCCTCCCTCCCTCCCTTCCTTCTTTCCTTCCTTCCTTCCCTGATCAGAATGCAGCATTGCAGGCTAACTCTGTCCACAGCCAGGGGTTTGATTATCACCAGGCTCAAGGCTGACTCAGCCTTCCATTCTTCCGAGGTCAGTAATATGAGGACCCAGATTGTTGGGGGCAAGAGGCTGACTCTGTAAACCACTTAGAGAAGGCTGCAAAGCACCGTGAAGCGGTATATAAGTCTAAGTGCTGTTCTATTGCTACTGCAGTGTAGTCCTTGTTTCCCCTAAGGTTTGGGGCAATCTTCTTCAAACCCATGGCCTCCCAGGTATTTTGACTGAAGTTCCATGAATTTCCTGCTGGAAAATTCTGAAGATTGCAATCCTGGCACATTTAGAGGATGCTCAGATTGAGAAGTTATAGCTGTTCCATCTTTTCTTATATATCTCAGCAATGGTTGGGAGTTAATCTTCCCCACCATTATGGATTGCTCTGCTGGTTTGCACCTTGTGCTATGACTAATGGAACAGGTTTGGCATATTTGTTTCGGCTTTGGCATAGCACTCTCAGCTAAGGTTTCTTCAAGCCAGATTTGCCAAGTAAGCCACCGTTGGCTGGGTTCCCATAATCAACTAAGCCATGGAATTATAGTTTATAAACTACGATGCTATTTCTGACCCCCATGACTGGAGTCACAAATCACAATAAGCTAGAAGCCATGATTTCCAACTATTAATGGATGGACCTACACAACATATTACCGTATTTTTCAGAGTATAAGATGCACCTTTCCCCCCCCAAAAAAGAGGGTGAAAATCTGGGTGCGTCTTATACATTGAATACATCATTTTTGGCCTCCCGAAACCCACCCACCCCTCACAAAAATGGATGTGCAGAGGGTTTGGGAGGCCTGCAAAGTGCTCCTAGGGGCTGGGGAGGGCAAAAACTAGCGAAAAATAGACTGTTTTTGGCCCCCCAGCCCCCAGGAGCACTTTGCAGTCCTCTCAAACTCTCTGCATGTCCCATTTTTCACAAAAAATGAGGCATGCAGAGGGCTTGGTAGGTCTGCAGAGTGCAAAAACTTTTTTTTTTAATTTACCTCTTCAAAATCTTGGTCTGTCTTATACTCCGAAAAGTACGGTAAGTCCAAACTAAATACAGAGCATTATGAATGATCATGATGTGTAAACCAAACGTGTATGTTGTTAAAGCAAAAATAAACAAAAGTATGATAGAACTAGTGAGTGCAAATGTTGTGGTGTCGTTGTGCGCAGACCTAGATTTTGGTTGAAATCGTAGTTGGAAGTTGTAGCGAGCCTTCATCCAAGACAGGGCTTTCATTTTCTCCCCAGCCCACAAGATTCTTTTGCTAGGAGCTCCAAATGGAATTTCCTACCCAGAGGTGAACGAGAAGAGCTTTGACTTGCTTGGCAGTTCCTGCACTTGAGTGTTTGTGGGATTTGTGCAGGACATCCTGGAATGCTTGTACATTTCTTGTGTCTCCAGGGATTCCAAATTTGGTTGGGCCAAAGACTTGTCAGAGAGGTCTACTCAGCTGGGCATTGAGCCAAGTGTGACCTTTCAGGCTAATGGAGAGAACAGATCCTGTTCAACATCGTTTAAATGAGAAGTCTTCTTCTGGAATGGACTCAAAGTGTGGATATGCTGCACGCAAGAGGAGTTTCAGATATTTCTTTCTCAATCTTGCTTGAAGCTCCCTTGATCAGCCCCAAAGCAAAGATTGAGAAAGGACCATAGAGTAGATGTGCTGCCTTAGTTGGTCTAATTAGAATAGAATGGAACGGGACAGAACAGAATAGAACAGAACAACAGAGTTGGAAGGCGTGGCACGACAATACCGTGCTCGTCAAAATAGCGGTGATAAAACCGTGTCGCTAAAGCCGTGACGTCATCACTGCGCGTCATCACTGCCGTGACAACAGCGCGGTGACAGAAGGGCGCTTTATAACAGCGCGGCGGCAGAAAGCCGATTTAAATTAAGGTAAGGGTTAGGATTAGGTTTAGGGGTTTGCTTTAGGTTTAGGGTTAGGGTTAGGGTTAGGGTTAGGGTGCTGAGTGCTTCGGAAGGCGCGGATTTGCCCTCCGTGGTTATGTCATCGCGGTAGGGTCGAGTTTTTCTTAGCGCTTCGCATGGCGCGGATTTGCCTCCGCACTTATGTCGGCGCGGATAAGGGCATCGCGGTTTTGTGGTGGAACCGTTAGAAGGGACCTTGGAGGTCTTCTAGTCCAATCCCCTGCTTAGGCAGGAAACCCTACATATTTCAGACAAGTGGTTATCCAGCATCTTCTTTAAAACTTCCAGTGTTGGAGAATCATAACTTCTGGAGGCAAGTTGTTCCACTGATTAATTGTTCTAACTGTCTCATTCGTTCTAGATTCCTTCTATCCTTCATTAGTTTCCACCCTTTGCTTCTTGTTCTACACTCAGGTGCCTTGGAAAATAGTTTGACTCCTTCTTCTTTGTGGCAGCCCCTGAGATATTGGGAGACTGCTATCATGTCTCCCCAGTCCTTCTTTTCATTCAACTAGGGAATGGGGATTTTGCAGTATCCTTCCCCTGCCATGCCCACCAAGCGACACCTACCGAACTGGTAGTAAAAAAAAATTGAATTTCACCAGTGGTCTGGGATACCTTCTCACTGCTGCTCTGGTTTGTACGGACTCTGCCTGATAGTACTACTTTTATTATAAGGAAAAATAATGTAATCTTGTAAGTCTGAATGTGTCTCCCCCCCCCCCGCCCCCATCTGAGAACTAGGGAGGGTTTTATCTGAGATGCTTTCTTGGGTTGCAGTTCTGGCCCAAACTCAGGTTTCCTTTATCTGGCTGTTTTCTTGGATGTAATTCTCTCATTCCTCAAGTTAATTCTTTCTGCCCCTTCCTTGAGTTGGTAAATTAAACGAAGGCAGTTAAAAAAAAACTTTCTAAATTGGTTGGTTGTAGCCTTTTCATTTTTCTGTTAGGGATGGCAAGGGCTTCTTTACATACCTGGGGTGATTTGAGAAATTGTGCTTTTCCTGCTACCTTCCTTCCCTTGTGCCTTAGTTGTTTGGAGGACAAAAACTCTGCATTTTAATCAGCAGATTTGCATAAAAGTTTCAGTCTGCTTCTGCTTACACAATTATTTGTCTAGAAAACCAGCAAAGAGAGAAGAGACCACATTTAAAAAAAAAAAAACCTTTTGTATTTCCTGCTTACTGTTGTCTCCAAAATGCTCTTTGTGTGTAAGAGAGCAGTTAGAGAGAGAAGAGAGAAGTTAGTTAGTTCTGATTCACCCCAGGCTACTTGACCTGGCGATTAAATTTTTCCCTTTCTGACTTGAAGGCTGATCTTGGACCCTGAATTAAGGAACAGGACAGCTTTGTGTGAATTCCAATCTAGTCTCCTCTTGATGTGCTATAGCTCACAGAATTTCAAGCCAGAGGCCATGCACATATGGGCACCACATTCTCCGTTCCAGATATAAATGCAATGGCCTGCTAGGTTCACCTTACGTTACTGGGGAATGTAGAGGAGAGAAAAATGTGCATGGAGGGGGAAAATGCATGTTGCCAGGAGGTATAAGTAGTTCTCAGAAAGGAACTCTTGTTTTATGGTTTGCAAATTTAGTTCTGGATGTTTTGGGAGGGAGTCGGTCAGCAAGAATTAGCATTTATAATGAAATATAGCATTGCAAAGTCAGGGTGGATAAAAGTCGATTTCTTTTAAAAAATTAAAAAATTGGATTTTTTAAAAATTTAAATCAGATTTTTTTTTATTTAAATCAGATTTTTTCTATTTAATTTTAATTTTACCAAATTTACTTTAATGAAATGCTTTTGGAATAAAAATCTATCTAAAATATAGTTTTCTGGTTAACATACATTAATAATTTAGTTTATTCAGCATGAAATGGAGCTTAGTGATGTAGCACGAGGCTGTGTATTCTGCGATATAGTGACTGTTGGTGAGTCAGCAGCGGATCAGAGGAGCCTCTGCGGGACAGAGACGACAGCTGCTCTTTAAAAATTATAATTCAACTCGAGATGATTTAAATCAAGCCTTTTTACTAGTGATTTAAATAAATGATTTAAACCGACTTGATTTAAATCAAATGCACCTTGTGCAAAGGTATTAATACGTTCCAGTGGAGGGACTCTTAAAGGGATCTAAAAGTTGATTTATGGCAACTGGGCCAAACTTTCTTAACAAGATTGGATGATTGAGTCTTGGGTGATTGAGATTGGATGATGGAGTCCTCATTGACAGACGCTTGAAGGAGTTAATTTAGCCCACACTACTAATTAATCCTGAGAAATACTTAGTACAGATCCTTGTCTGGATACTGGAGGAGGGATGTCCTAGTTTTGGATGCTGAAGAAGGACATGTTTGATTTTTAAAAAAGAGTGTCATTTTTCTGTTTCCCTTGATTATAATAATAATTGTCAACTTTAATGACTTTAAGATGTGTGGATTTCTATTCCCAGAATTCCCTGGGAGTTGAAGCTCACATGTCATAAAGTTGCAAACGTTGCACAACCCTGGGCTATTGGGAAATGCCCTTACATTCTAAGATTCTGCCTTGGTGTGATTAAGGAAATAGGAATGTAGTTTCCAACCAACACATTTCAATTGCAGCTTTCTTTGCTTTGTGTGCTACACACAGGTGATAGAGCATGGAAAAGCAGCCCTAGGTGACCTTCGACCTGGAGATGTCATCATTTCCATCAATGGGGAGAATACCTCTGAGATGCTCAACGTGGAGGCACAGAACAAGATAAAGCAGAGCTCTGGGAAGCTGCAATTGCAAGTGGACAGGTGAGTCTATCAGAAGTAAAAGACTAAATCACCTACCCGTATAAGACGCACCTTAGCTTTTGGGGAGGAAAATGAGAAAAAAATAATTCTGCCTCTGCCTACCAGCATTCATCGGTGTTCATCTGGCTAGCATCCTTAGCAAACAGCATGGCCAGCTTCAGCACATTATCGCAGCCTGATTCAGCATGAGCAGCTGATTGGCGGGTGGATCGGCCTCCCAGAATACCCCCAACCAGCTGTTCCCCGAGGTGAACTTTAGCAATAGGTTTGCTGGTTGCGAGCACATCTGCCGATCACCGCCCAAAAACATGACGCGCAGAGCAGAGGAGATATTCAGCAGGTTCTGGAGAACTGGTGGTGGAAATTTTGAGTAGTTTGCAGAACCAGTAAATACCACCTATGGCTGGTCCTACCCCCACCTATTCTCTGCCTCTCGAATCCCAGTTGATCGGGACGGAATTGGGATTTTGCAGTAACCTTCCCCTGGAGTATGGAGGGAATGGAGATTTTACAGTATCCTTCCCCTGCCACNTGTGCCAGAGGTGGCACGCAGAGCCCTCTGTGTGGGCACACATGCCATCGTCAGCTGCTCTTCTGGTTTCCGGCATGGCCGGGGGCTTGGGTGCTGAAAAATGGTCTGAAAATGAACCCAAAACCAGCCAAAAAACCAAGCCATTTTCAGGTTGTTTTTCAGGACATTTTTGGCCTGAAAACGGCTCTCAAAATGGCATGAAAAGGGCTCAAAAACGGCCTGTTCTTTGGCTGTTTTCGGGCTGTTTTTGGCCTGAAAACGGCCCATAAAACGGCATGAAAACAACACGAAAAACGGCGACAAAATAGACCTGTGCACCAGCCAGCTGGATTTTGTGCATTCTCGTTTGGGCATTCAGTGCCAAAAATGTTCGCCATTACTGGTTTAGATAATAATAAAAATCATTCAGACAAGGGGAGAGAAAGATGTGGGATTATAGCAGCGTGGCTAGAGTTACAGGCCTTATCCCACCTTGCTCTTCTGAAGACAGCTGCTCCTAACAGGTTTTGTAGTTCAGAAAGGATAGGCAATGATGGTTGCAGCTTTTGGCTTTAGACTTCCTGTGAAATAACCAAGTATCAAATGCACTTATAAGCTAAATATTATACAGAGAAAGAAGCAGACTTGAAACCGCCAACTACATTCGCTAAACATTATTATATTTCAGAAGAATTGTTTACTGAGGGGTAGGCATTCTTTAATCCTCCCCAAAAAATGTAATTGCAGAGGGAACCATCACAGCATGCTCTGCTGCTTGTTTCTGTGGTCAGTGAAACCTTCACTTGGTATGTTGAAAAACTATATTGGCTAATAAGATTTTGTCACTCGGAGAATTTTTCTGTACTTCTAAGCCAGCATTTCTCAACCGTCTCATCTTTAAGAGGTCTGGACTTCAGTTTCCAGATTGCTGCACGTGGCTGTTTGGGAAATTCTGGGAATTGAAGTCCACACATCTTGGGGAATTTTGGGAATTGAAGTCCATGCAACTTGAAGTTGCCAAAATTNTTTTTTTTTGGCCATACCTTCCCGGCCTGCCTTCTAGGCATGCCTCCTGCAGTCTAAATCTAACTTCGTAATATTAACCTTTTAGCAAAGCCAAGTTGTTGGGGGGATGTGGGTACAAAGAGCTAACTAAAATCATTAAGGCTGTCTTGAACCAGCCAAATGTTGCCTACGTTGCTTTAATCAAACGTGGAGTGCTCAAGGCCTTGCAAGATTCTTTGTCTCGCCTTGCTGTTTAAGCAGTCTGAATTATGCAGAATAAGCAGATGAGTAAAGGTCCTAAATTCTCGTGACATTAAACAAGTTACAGCATCCCCCTCCTCTGAATTATTATACAATTCAGAGTCTATCCAAATCTTCCTTTGTCTCTTCAGTCTGCCCTTATCTATGCTTGGGGGGGCGGGGGAATGCTGCACTCCCCAAAACAGGGAGAAATTAAACTCTGGACTGACTGCCACAAGCAGTGCGGAGGCAGGGACATGTTTGACCCAAAGTAACGGGGAGCGTAAAGTCTAAATTTTGCTTCTGTTAGCATAAAACTTAAGACTTGTGGCTGAGCTGCTGTAAATCCAGTCCTCCTCCCACCTTACCAGACGAGGAGTAAATTTCTTGCAGCATCCATTGCAAGTTTGTTTTTCCATTGGCAAAATAATTGACCTACCTTACAGACAAGGTTAATTACACAGCCCTGAGAATGTTCCAAAAAATGGGAAACTTCATATTGGAGCTGTGGTTGGGACTAGCTCCAGGGTTTGACAGCAGAAAGAATACTATAACGCACAAAAATGGAAGGACACTTTGATTCCCACCATGGCTGAATGGTTGCAGAAGCTGATGGAGTTGGCAGAAATGGCTAAATTGACTATTTGAACTAAAGAAAAAAAAACCAATAGTTTCATTTCTACTTGGAAACTGCTTCTGAACTTTGTGCTTGGGGTGGAGGGAAAAATGAAACTTTGATTTTGGCTTTTACCGATTAGATTGATAGATGTTTATAGAAATGGTTAGTTTATATTAAAATGGAGAAGCAAAAAGTTATAGTTTGATGTTAATGCCTAATTTTACTGCAACAGAGGCAGTTGGAAATCAATAGGTTTTTTTTTCTTTTCCCCAGCCCTGCCTCACTTCTCTTTCCCCTCTTCCACCCCCACCCCACCCCCACTGTTTTCCTATTTACTTTTGCATTTTGTATCTTATCTTATAACTTAATAAAATGTTTAAAATTGGGACTAGCTCCAGGTAACCCTATCAGGGAAGTGGGAGTCGATTCTTCGAGAAAATAATTTTATGAAACAAAGATGGGCCATTTCCAGGACCTGATTCAACTGGAAGGTGCTGAATGGATAAAGTCGAAAATATCTAACATACTTAGTTTTTTACAGAGGAAATAATGGAACAAAACCAACTCTGCCACCCATTTAGCAGTACTTAACTTTCATCTCACCTGTGGTTAATCCCCATGGTTCAGGTCACTGTTGGTTTAACTTAGTGGTGCTTTGTGTAAATTTAATTTATGGTGGCTTATTCAATGACTCATGGTTAAGCCAACCATAGAGCATGTGTGTTGTGAATCAAGGTACATCTTTTTGGTATGGTATAATTCAGTTCACCTGTTGTGACCTCCTCTTCCCAAGAGCATGAAGCAACTCCTTGTCCCGACAAAAAAACCTTTTATTAATCAATTTAATACTGTGAATTCTGCTCATTCATATCCAGCAAGATCTTTCAAGGGAGGATTTACAGTCACAGACCTTATCTGGCTTGGAGAGCTGCCAGGCCGATATCTGCAAAACTTGGCAAGGAGTTTTGGAGAGTCACGAACCAATTAAGCGAACTTCCTGCAAACTCCACTCCCCTTTTGCTCTTCTTTTATTTCTTCTGGGAGGGGCCATTCGTTGTCTGGCCTTACTCCCGAGTTGACCCCGGTTCTTTAGTTGTTCCCTTCGTCTGGCAACTCTGCGCATGCGCACACTGGGAACAGGCTCCAGCTGTTTGTCTGCCTCATTGTTGTCTGACTCTGAAGGCAGCTGATAACTGGCATACGTCCCTGGCCCCCTCTCTTCCTCCGACACAGAGCCCTCATCAGAGCCTTTCCCAGACTCCAGGACTGGAGGAACCCATGTTCCTCCCCAACCTCCTCACTGTCTGAATCGGCTATCAGCTCTGCTGACCCCTGGTGGGCCACAACATCACCCTACCAATTTGGTGTAGTGGTTAAAGCATCAGGCTAGAAATTAGAGGCTGAGTTCCAGTCATCTGGGTGACTTCGAGCCGGCCACATGCCCTCAGCCCCAGGCAATGGCAAATCACTTCTGTCTCACATCTTGCCAAGAAAAGTCCCCCACAGGGACTTGTTCATGTAGCCTCCAATTGACTCAAAGGCAACCTTTTTCCCCCACAAAAAAATTTAAGCCTTGATCATCCTAGTGAGTAAAAATAAATCCAAGGAAATCTAAACAGAACATACATCTTGAGTTAGAAGCTTGTAATGATCATTCTTAGCCTTCCTGGTTGGGGTAATGAGAGTGCAGCACTTAATTGGGAAGTAACTTGCATAGAGCTACCATTTTTCTGTGTTACTTCGAGTCAAATTGTCACAGACGATTTTCCTTTCAACCATTAGCTGCACTCCCAAATACTCAAGTGCACCATATATTTATTTCTTGATCACAATTTTTGGCTTAATCACTATTTTCATCCTAAATGTTGCAAACCAACATTAAATACATTTAATCATGTAAGTAGTCCTCGACGTATGAACCCCAGTGGAGCCCAAAATTTGGTTGTTAAGCCAGACAGTTGTTAAAGTGAGTTTTGCCCCATTTTATGACCTCTCTTGCCAGAACTGTTAAGTGAAACACTGCAAGCATTAAGTTAGTCAGTGAATCTGGCTTCCCCCATTGACTTTGCTTGTCAGGAGATCGCAAAAGGGGATCCCATGATGCCTGGGACACGACAACCATCATACATATGAGTCAGTTGCCAAGGATTTGGATCACGTGACCATGGGGATGCTGCAATGATTGTAAGTGTGAAAAATGGTCATAAGTCACTATTTTGAATTCCTCTTCTAACTGAGGCTTCCCAAGAGCCTGAAGCAAACTCCTTGTCCCGACAAAAAACCCTTTTATTTATTTCCTGCAAATTCTGCTCATTCACATTCAGCAAAATCTTTCAAGGGAGGATTTATGGTCACAGACTTTATCTGGCTTGGAGAACTGACAGGTTGATATCTGCAAAACTTGGCAAGGAGTCTCGCAGAGTCACAAACCAATTAAACGAAGTAATTGTCTCCTGCAAACTCCATTCCCCTTTTGCTCCTCTTTTATTTCCTCTGGGAGGGGTCATTCATTGTCCACCTATGGCCTTACTCCCAAGTTGCCCCTGTTCTTTAGCTGTTCCCTTCGTATGGCAACTCTGCACATGCACACACTGGGAACAGGCTCCAGCTGTTCATCTGCCTCGT